TCCCTCTAGGTTTTCTAATTTATGCACATACATGTGTTCATAGTACCTTTGAGGATCTTTTGTGTGGTAATAATCCCATTTCATTTCTAAGTGAGCTTGTTTGGCTCTTCTCTCTTCTTTTCTTGGTTAATCTTGCCAATAGTCTCTCAATTTTATTTATTTTTCCAGAAAGCCAGCTTTATATTTTATTTATAGTTTGTATTATTTTGTTTCAACTTCATTTAGTTCTGCTCTGATCTTGGTTATTTTCTTTCTTCTGCTAGGTTTGGCTTTGGTGTGTTCTTGTTTCTTGAATTTCTAGAAATGTAACCTTAGACTGTCTATTTGTGCTGTTTCAGTCATTTTGATGTAGGCATTTAAAGCTATAAAACTTTTAGCACACTCTTGGCAAGAATTCCAGAGGTTTGATAGGATGTGTCGCTATTGTTCAGTTCAAAGAGTTTTTAAATTTCCGTCTTGATTTATACATTTGACCCAGTGATCATTCAGGAGCAAGTTATTTAATTTCCATGTGTTTGCATGGTTTGAAGGAAGGTTCCTTTTGGGTTGGATTTCCAGTTTAATTCTACTGTTGTCTAGAGATTTACTTCATATAATTTCCATTTCTTAAATTTTTTTGAGACTTGTTTTGTGGCCTATTCTATGGCCTATCTTGAAGAAAGTTTCATGTGCTGATGAATAGAATGTACATTCTTTCTGAAGTTCCATTCATATTGTTCATTGTTAGTGCATACTCTAAAGAATGATCTAGAATGAGTGAAAGTTACAGGCAAAAGCTGGTGGTTTTAGGCTTAAACATATTCCTGTACTGGGATTTTGATTTTCCCTCCCTTTGCAGAGGACACGGCTCTTCCCTGATAGCCAGATAGGCTTCACTGGAAAACATATTGCCAATGCTCCAGGGATCCACTTACCAGGGACTATGATCCTCTTGATTATGAGATTTGTTCCACCAGTGGCTGAGTTATGGATGAACCAGATATAGCACCCTCTATATGTTTTAGTGATTTGGGACATAAAGAATACTTGTGCTGATTGCTGGAACTTCCCATCAATCAGCCAGAATGCTGCCAGTGGTGAGAGTCTGTGAGACAAGAGAGCTTAGGGACTTCCTGGATGGTAATAGGTGTATGCAGAGAAGAAATGGTGGGGGCATGCAAGGCCATCTAGACAAGAGGAAGGGCCACAGTGACCCTGTGAGCTAAGTCACAACATTAAAGTCCCAGCCAAATCCCTGCTGTGTTCACTGATCTGGAGCCTGAGACACTCACCTGTTTTTCCCATCATAAGCTGTGGAACCTGATTCTCCCATGACAGGAGCAGCCTCTTCTCTCCCACTGTTGATCAAGTATAAACTCTCTTCGTCATCGCCCCAGCCCTTTGATGTCCAGGGGTAAAAGTCTGTACTTGCCTGAGAGGGACTGAGAGGCTTGGCCTCTGTGCGTGTATTTGGGATGGCAGCCTGGCTCACAGAGGAACAGAAGATACTCACAGAGGAGATTCAGGGTGACTGGGTCACTGCGGCTGGAACTCACTGGGTTCTTCATTTCACATTCATAGGGTCCTGTAGTATCCTTTTGTGACAACAAATGAATGAGATCTGTTGTTCTTGGACAACTGCAACGTGCGACTGTTCACGGAGAGCTCTGTCCATTTATCCACAACAAGTATCTTGCGTCTGAGTGTCAGGATCACAGAGATAAGATCACAGTCTCCTTTAACCTCCTGAGGTTTAAGTTGCTGCTGGAGATGTAGGGCTTAAGTCTCCACTGTGCAGATGTAGAGAGAAAGATTGTCCTGTGTCTTCTCATGCCATTCTCCTGCCTCAGCCTCCAGAGGAGCTGGAACTACAGGTGCCCGGAAACACCAGGCTAATTTTTGTATTTTCAATACAGGGTTTCACCATGTTATGGGATGGTCGTGATCTCCGGACATCGTGATCCACCCACCTCGATCCCCCAAAGTGCTGGGATTACAGGCGTGACCCACTGTGACTGGCCATCTCTGAGGGATTTTAACGAGTTGTTGACTTTTGAGTTTGTTCAGCTTTTTACTTATATGACAGGTGACAAATTTGAAACTTGTTATATGCCTGACAAGAAACCAGAAGTCTCTAGGAAGTGACTGGAAAATGTGAGCTCCATAGAAGGTTGAGGATGGAGTCACGAATGAAATGGGTGAAATCAGCCCATGGGTTTGGGAAACAGCAGGCCTGTCCAGCCTCTGACACCCTGGTGAGTCAGTGCAAAGATTACAACAGTGACAACAAGCAAGGTATGGCTGACTCCATCTGGCATCTAGTCTCAGGCTGGCTGTCCTCACTCATTCCTGGCCATAGGCCAGGCTAACCATGGGAGGAATTTAGTTTGTGGTTTAATTTTGAAGGAAGAATAATATTTCCTCCATAAAACTAATACCCTTACTTGGCCCAGGGATTGCCTTTGTAAAACTGGTGAAAGACCATGAGAGTAAGATTATAGGAGGAACTAAGATTCTGCTAAAATGTAGGCACATTTCTATAATCTCTTACTGCTTAAATGTCATTTGGCTAGAGTTTACAAAATTTGTAACTAATTGCTGCTCGAGATAACATCACTATTGTAGAACCTGAGATTGGTCTTTTGAGATGTTTCTCATTCTTTGCATTCTGGCAACCCACTGACCTCATCCATACCCATGACTAATGACTCAGCCAGGTACGTGGTCCCCACCTAGAGTCAGATTCAAGCACAAACAGATCATTTCCCTCCGCCCGCATGATTCCACCCTCAAACAATCCGCAGTACCCATTTTTTACTCCTGTGCCCCCGAAACTATCCTTGAAAATCTCTAACCCCTGATCCACTAGGGAGGCTGATTTGAGTAATAATAAACCTCTGTCCTCCTGTTTGTAGACTTGAGTCATTAAAATCTTCATTTGCTGCAAATCACCATCTGGATAAATTGGTTTTGTTTGTGCAGGAGGCCAGAAAAACTTGTCTAGGAATATAAGAGTGGATGGAGGAGTTGTCTATCCATGTTCCATGGTCTTGTCCAAGAACAGCCTCACAAAGGGAAAGAGCTCTGGATGGGGATACAGTGGAAGCTTATTCTCTTAGTGACCTGGGGACACTGGCTCAAGATAAACCTGGCGTGAAGTGGCAACTCCGGGTGATTTCTGTACCTTTACATTTCCTGGGTTGTGGGCCATTCCACAGTGTTAGCAGGAAGGGAATAGAACAGTCAACCCCTAGTCAAGAGGAGTGTCTGGGGAGAGGCTAGGGGTGGAGGAAAAGCTGTGCAGGACAGGGCTTGCCAGTTAGAATGGAAGTGGGAGAAGATGAGGGACACAGAGAAGCAGAGAGAGAGGCAGAGACAGCATGGCGTGAACAGTGGGGCCTACAGTAACTTCCAGAGACCCCCAGGACTAGGTGTCCCCATTTCCTGAGTCCAGACCAGGCCTGAAAACCTCCAGTGCCCAAGGAGCTTCAGAGTTACGTTACATGAGGGTGAGGGTGTCAGCTAGCGGCAAGAGGTTGTCGGAGGGGATGAAACATGGGCATCAGCCTCTGAGAGGAGAAGGGACAAGTGTGGCTAGAACCTCTAGGATTCTATATCTGAGATCCAGTCTCTAAAGAGGTTATGGATCATTCATTTCTTCATTCAATTCCTTCATTATGTGAGCACCTGAGTGTGTGTCTCTCCTGGACTTAGTAGTGCAGGGCGTGAGTGGGAAAGAACACAAGCTCCTCTCCTTTATCTTGTCATGCCAGTGACATGAACACTTTAAAAACAATTTCAGGTTCAGTGATAGGGCTGAAGATCTGAGGGGGAGGCCTGGACATTTTTTGCACTGACTCTGACAGTTGAGGCAGGTGATTTTAGTTTTGGGAACAGACTGATCAGCTGACCGTTTGCTCTTCCTCCTCTGAGGTTTGGATACTAAGAAGAGGATTTGAGCCAATAAATGACTATGGGGTCCTTGGAACCCAATGATTCCTCACTTCTGGTGGAGGAGAGGATGGGCCTGTGGCTGCAGACAGACCTCATATGACCCTGATCTGCCTTTTGTGTTTGTGTAGCTCTGGTTCAGTAGCTGTGCCTTCCTGTGCTCACTTTTCTCTCAGTCATAAAAGCCCGAAATGGCAAATGGACTGTGGCTTTTCAGCTATCTGTGAATACATTGTAAATTCTTCACAGTCACCTGACCTAATGCTTGGCACAGTGGAGGTGTTCACACAAACAGCATTTATTATTATTCCTCCGCAGAGAGAGCACCTTTGGAGGTCAGATCCTGTGGACAAGCTGCTGCCAGGTACATTTTCTCTCTCTTCTGTTTTTACTGCTTTTGGGGACATGAGACTTTCTATGGAGTGTCCTAAGACTCACAAGGCAGTTGGTTGATGGCCTACAAAGCTCGTCTTTCTGTCCTCTCCACTCTGAGTCTCAGGTGAGGAAAGCTCTGTCCTTGCCCAGATGAGGCTCTGAGGGCTGAGCCCTGGCTGGTGAGCAGCTCCAGGAGACACAGTCCTCAGATCGCTGGTGAATCCCCAGTCCCAGTAAGCCCTGCCACAACCCAGCCCTGGCACAGGCTCCTCCGGCTTTATCTGGAGTAAGGGATTTGGGGACCGGATCTGGGCTTGAGGCTTCTTGGGCTGAGCTTCTCTGAGAGTATCTCTGCAGAGCCTCTTAGGCAAAGCCCTGCTCAGTTCTCAGGATCTTTCTCAGGAGTCCAGCACATGAAGAAGACCTTAGGAGTGCTTGGCTGAGGCTGATCTCTTCCTGCTGGCCTCCCATCAGACTGTCCTTCCTATGCAGCAAGTGCCTGCAGGGTCTGGAGGCAGAAAAGGAATTCTGATCTGTTGAAGTTTGTCTCCTCTGTGTGTGTCCTGCACTAAATGCTGAAACCCCAACATAGGACATAATGCAGAAGGCACTTGAGCCCAGTCTAGGCTTCAAACCATCCTGTGCAAAGTAAAGTGACCTGCCTCAACACCCGGGGATCATGTGGAATCACTCACGGTATAAGGTGAAATGTCCAGTTACTCCTTCAGTCCCATCACCTCGCTTTATGATGATTTCTACAGTGTAGGATCCTGCATCCTTCTGGTTGACCTCCTGGATCAGCAGGGATGCATTGGAATATACTGTTTCTCATCCACTGTATGCAGGCCCAAATATAATTGTTTCAGTGTCTATTGTATATGCACCCTTAATGTAATGCTGGAGTCCATTATTTGCCCTTTGTACCAGATGTAGCCAGCAACATTCTGGGGCAAATTGTGGACAAGTGAAGAATAATACTTCCTCAGAAACTTTGGTTGGCTGAGCTTCAATCCTGACTTGGGCAGTGGTTGGCGAGTTCGAAAATTAAAAAGTGATGCTAGGAGGTGGAGAGAGCATCAGTCAATATTGAGATCTATGTATTGGGTAGAAAAGATGGGGCCCTGTATGTCCTGAGATGATCTCTTCAATCATCAGCCTTGAAGACACACACAGACACAAACACACACACACACACACACCCCTTTTTGTGTGTGTGTAGGTTATGTGTTTGTGTCCTACTGTGCTACTGGCTCAAGGTCTGCGGCGACCCATTCCTTCAACCCTTCTGTTTGCTTGCATTTTTGTCTGGAATCCTCCCCAGGGATCTTCATGGCTCCCTCCACAACACCCTCAGGTCCTGCTCACATCAGGACATCCTTGAACTTCTTTCTGATACCTCCATCAGAGACTCTGGGCCTTCCCTTTCTGACCTTTCCCTGCTCTGCTTCCTCCGGAGCTCTTGTCAACACCTGACCTCACATTCTAGATCTCTTTGCTTGTCTGTCTTCCTGCCAATGACAGGCGTGAGCTGCACTCAGGGACAGTGACTTTTGTGATCTTGGTTGCAGTGCCACAGGACAGGCTGCAGACTTCTGTAGATTTGAGAGTTCCCAGGGCCCTCCATGCCTGGGTTGTTTCATTTTGCTAAGGACAGTGTTTGCACTGTATATTTTCATTTGGAAGTGTCATCTCATAATAATTTATTATTATCATTTTACAAAATGTCATGGTGTCAGTGCTGATTAACCAGAAAACAGAACACTTGAGATTTTCCTACCTCTTACCAATTCCAGTTCAATGTGATTTTCCTGTTTTAACCCCTGTCCCTCTCTGGTGTATTTTCCCCTATCCAGGCTACAACAGAGCCTTCTTTCCTGTTTTGTTTCTTCTTTCTTTTTCTTTCTTTTTTTTTTTTTTTTTTTTTTGAGACAGAATCTTGTGCTGCCACCCAGGCTGGCGTGCAGTGGCGCGATCCTCGGCTCACTACAACCTCTGCCTCCCAGGTTCATGCAAATTTCCTGCCTCAGCCTCCCAAGTAGCTAGGATTACAGGAGCACACCACCACACCTGGCTAATTTTTTGTATTTTTAGTAGAGACTTTAGGCTTCTGTGTTGACCAGACTGGTCTTCAACTCCTGAACTCCACGATCCACCCACCTCAGCCTCCCAAAGTGCTGGCTTCTTTTATTTCTTAGAACCCCATCCTCTCCAGGAAACCTCATCCAATCCGTTCTGCTTCCTCCTCCTGTCCTCTCCCAGGAAGTTCTCTCCTCACCTGTGAGCAGGAGATCCTTCCAGGTGATGTGCAGTGTGCAGGAGGGGGCTGAGAGAGCCCCATGGCCTGTGCTGCCTGCGTGTTCTCACTCTGTGGAGATGAGCCTGGGATAGGAAACTTTCTGAACCACGGCTGTCAGCTGTGCTGTCCTTCCTCTTCTGTGCTGAGCCTCTTCCCAAGGCAGGAGCACTTCTCAGGCTCATGGGCAGGCTCTGTGCCCAGGACCTCTGTCCTTCCCCTCTCAGTCCTGCCTCCTTGTCCCTCCTTCTCTTTTTCCTTTTGTCTGTGTGTCAGGTCCACCAAAGATTGTAGAGCCTCTGTCTTTGTAGTGCTTCTCAGGACCTGGGTGTCCCAGGAAAACTATGCTTCCTGGAGCTGCGAGTGAGATCCTCATGCCTCTTGGGAGGAGAGGCCTGTGCTGGTTGTTGTAGTGGGGCTGTGAGTCCCATGGTCAAAGGGACAGTTCTCAGTCACTTTATTGCTCCCTGGGGTCTGGTGGCTGAGCAGGGGCTCAGGGTTTCTCATTTTCTTCTGACCATCTTTGGTGTCCTCTGTTTCTGTCCAGCTGATTGTCCTATGATTACCACACCTTCCCCATGGTGGTGCAGGAGGAAGTAAGGAGTTGCAGGAACCCCGTGGAGACATGGCTGCGTTGAGATGCGGGAAGGGGAGCCTGGGACAGGCTGGGGGATTCCAGAGCTGGAAAGATTCATCTGACTTAATCCATGGTCATGATGGGCTCAGCCCTCCATGTGGTGACATACCCAGGGTCTGTCCCTGAGGGAGTTTTGGCCGGGCAAGTTGCTCTCTGTACAAGAGGAACAGACAGTCGCCAGAGAGCCTGGACATTTCTCACCCCTGAGAGAGCGGGTGGGGGTGAGTTGTGTTCTGGGAGCAAAGAGCAATTATACCCGTTTCTCCGACGAGTTTTCACAGGAGGAGTCTGTCTTCCCAAGGGATAGCTGGGGAGTAGAGTGACCACATCCTGGATGGTGCCTGTGTGTGTGATCACACGCTCTTCGCCCCCGGGGTGGAGAGGCGGACAGACAGGTCACAGGGTGCCGGACTGATTCCCAGGGAGTCTGTGGGCCCTTAGGCAACTGCTGTTCTGTGTCAGCGCTAGGCTTGGCCTGGGATGCCCCAGAGAACAGGACACATGGAGCAAGGGCGAGCATTTGAGGAGCAGTGACAGAAAGAGTTGATGAGGATGGAGAGAGTTCATGAGGAAAAGGCGCCCAGTGTGGTGTCACCTGCACCAGCGCTGCCCTGGGAAGTGTTCTAGCTGATCCCAGGGAAGGAGCAGGTGTGTGGTGCAGAGGCACCTGCAGAGGGAGTGGTGTTAGGTTGACGGCCGCCAGGTCAGGGAGGAGCTGACAGAGTCCCTGTGGGGAGCATGGAGGGCGCTGAGGACTTGGGCCCAGGTGATCCTGGTGAGGGTGGACCCTGCTCCTCTTTGGAGTTCACTGAGGAGGTCAGCATCCTGGAAGCTCCAGGCTGGAGGACTCTGCCGCCCTCTGGTGGACTGGGAAGGGAGATGTGTGGGTGGCCGAAGTCCCAGGCCAGGCTGCGTGTTTTATTCCACAAAGATCTGCACGTTTCACACAAGGTCACACGTATGTTATGTTACAGCTCCATCACCTTACAGCCCCGTGAGTCCCAGTCTCTGTGGCTCTATGTTCACTGTTCTCCCTCTTTCACAATCGCAGATTGTCCCAAAATACAGATGTTTGTCACCTGTGAGTTTGTGTGTGTGTGCAGTAGGCGGCACTGTGTATGCCCTGGGGGCAGTGATGTCTGGGGCTGAGCACTGCACATGGGCTTGGGAACAGAAGACGGAGCAGCAGGGTGGGAGGATCAATGCCAGGGGAGCAGGGACAAGTCATTTTCATTTTCTCAAGCCAAGGGACCACAGCCGGATTCAGCTCCAGGGTTCAGTACCACACCCTGCTGGTGTCCCAGGATGTCAGGAGTGTTCATAGTGTCATGCTGCCTTGGCATTCATTTTTTAAAGTGTAAATTTATTTGCCTCACATCAGAGGCAGGCCTTGCTCACCATGGCACTTTTCAATACTGTATCTGGTTCAGGTTTCTCAGTTGGTGGCCAGATATAAAATCTAGAGAGCATCTCTCTCATAGCGGTGTGCTGGGCTCCCCTCTCTCCAGCTGCTTTCTTTAAACGGATAATTCTGACATTTGCCCTCACATTTAAAGTGACCACTTGTCAGTCTGGCATATCTCCTGGTCCCAGTGTTTGCTGCTTGCTTTAAACACATCCATTAAAGCTCCCTGCTGGAAACCTGTCAGATAACACCTGGACTTACAAAAAAGCCACTGGCTTACAGTCACCTTCTCTCCTCCCTGCCTGGACTCACTGACCTCTGTATCTGTGGTCTCCAGGTGTGCCAGAGTGCTTTCCCCAGTGTCTGTAAGTAGTAAAAAACACTTACACTTTCACCTTGTGGTTGTATCACTATAGCCTCACATGCCATCCAGGGCCTGACATCGAGGCTGCCCTATGGGACCTGTGCTGATTGAACTCCTGCTTTAGCTCTTCTTTTGGGATCTCTGGTTCTTCACAGGGACAGGAGCTTCCCATAGCTTGATTGAAAAACTGATACATTTCTTTGAAAACACTGGGTCAGATGATGTATTCATGAGCGAGCTGCCATAATTGTTATATTAGCCTGGGTAAATAAATAATAGAAATCGATTTTCACAGTTCTGTGAATAATGTACTATTTTAATCACTTTAAAATGTGCAATCAAGTGGAATTAACCACATACACAGTGTTTAGTTGCCATCACCACTATTTTTTCCTAATTTTTTTCATTTTAAACTGAAACTTTGTATCTTTGAAACAATAATAACTCCCTGTGTTTTCCAACCTAGACTTTGATCATCTCTACTCTGTCTCTATGAATTTGCCTATTCTTCATGTTTCATATAAATTATTATACATGTATGTTATTTTGAATTATACATATATGAATTATACAAATATGTTACTTTGTTTCTGACATATTTCACTTAGCATAATGTTTCCAAAGTCCTTGAATGTAACAGCGGATGTCAGAGCTTCATTTCTCTTTATGGCAGATTGACATTCTGTTGTATGTGTGACCACATTTGTTTGTTCATGTGTTGATGAACATTTTGGATTGTTTTTCATATTTTATCTTTTGTGAGTAATAGTGCAATCAACATTACCATGAAAGTACCTGTTTGAGTCCCTGGATTCAATTCTTTGGGTACATACCTAAGAATGGATGCTGTTTCATATGAGAATTCTATGATTAGCTTCTTGAGGAAAAGCACAACTGTTACTCCTAATTGGTTGCACCTTTTTTATAATCTCACCAGCAATGTGTGAGGATTCAAAGTCTACATAAGGCTTTCGCTTGTTATTTAACATTTTAAAGAATGGTAGACATATTTGTAGGTGTGAGTGTGGGATCTCATTTGTGGCTTTGACTTTGTATTTTCTAATGACTAATGATGTTGAGTTTCTTTTCAGGAGCCTCTTGATGATTTGCATATCTTCTTTGAAGAAATGTCTATTTAGATCCTTTGCCCATTTATATAAATTGGGTGGTTTATCTTTCTGTTATTGAGTTGTACCCGTTCTTTATATATTCTGGGCATGAAACCATTGTCTATGTGATTTGCAACATTTTTTTTTTTGCCTTTTTTTTAAATTTTATTTTTTATTATTATTATACTTTAAGTTCTAGGGTACATGTGCATAGCATTACAGGTTTGTTACATATGTATACTTGTGCCATCTTGCTGTGCTGCACCCATCAACTCGTCAGCACCCATCAACCTGTCATTTACATCAGGTATAACTCCCAATGCAATCCCTTCCCCCTCCCCCTCCCCATGATAGGCCCCAGTGTGTGATGTTCCCCTTCGAATCCGTGATCTCATTGTTCAGTTCCACCATGAGTGAGAACTATACGGTGTTTGTTTTTCTGTTCTTGTGATAGTTTGCTAAGAATGATGGTTTCCAGCCTCATCCATGTCCTACAAAGGACTCACGAAGACTCATCCTTTTATGGCTGCATAGTATTCCATGGTGTATATGTGCCACATTTTCTTAATCCAATCTTAACTGTTGATGGACATTTGTGCGTTGATTCAAGTCTTTGCTATTGTGAATAGTGCCGCACTAAACATACGTGTGCATGTGTCTTTATAGCAACATGATTTATAATCATTTGGGTATATACCCAATAATGGGATGGCTGGGTCATATGGTACGTCTAGTTCTAGATCCTTGAGGAATCGCCATACTGTTTTCCACAATGATTGAACTAGTTTTACAATCCACCAACAGTGTAAAGTGTTCCTATTTCTCCACATCCTCTCCAGCACCTGTTGTTTCCTGACTTTTTAATGATTGCCATTCTAACTGGTGTGAGATGGTATCTCATTGTGGTTTTGATTTGCATTTTCTCTGATGGCCAGTGATGGCCAGAGCATTTTCATGTGTCTGTTGGCTGTATGGATGTCTTCTTTTGAGAAATGTCTGTTCATATCCTTTGCCCACTTTTGATAGGGTTGTTGTTTTTTTCTTGTAAATTTGTTTGGAGTTCTTTGTAGGTTCTTGATATTAGCCCTTTGTCAGATGAGTAAGGTGCAAAAATTGTTTCCCATTCTGTAGGTTGCCTGTTGAATCTGATGGTAGTTTCTTTTGCTGTGCACAAGCTCTTTAGTTTCATTAGATCCCATTTGTCAATTTTGGCTTTTGCTGCCATTGCTTTTGGTGTTTTAGACATGAAGTCCTTGACCCTGCCCCTATGTCTGAATGGTATTACTAGAGTTTTCTTCTAGGAGTTTTATGGTATTAGGTCTAACATTTAAGTCTCTAATCCATCTTGAATTAATTTTAATATAAGGAGTAAGGAAAGGATCCAATTTCAGCTTTCTACTTATGACTAGCCAATTTTCCCAGCACCATTTATTGAATAGGGAATCCTTTTCCCCATTTCTTACATTTCTCAGGTTTGTCGAAGATCAGATGTCCTGTAGTGTGGTATTTCTGAGGACTCTGTTCCGTTCCATTTGGTCTATATCTCTGTTTTGGTACCAGTACCATGCTGTTTGGTTACTGTAGCCTTGTAGTATAGTTTGAAGTCAGGTAGCGTGATGCCTCCAGCTTTGTTCTTTTGACTTAGGATTGTCTTGGAGATGCTTAGCCTCTTTTTTTGGTTCCATATGAACTTTAAAGCAGTTTCGAATTCTGTGAAGAAAGTCATTGGTAGTTTAATGGGGATGGCATTGAATCTATAAATAAGCTTGGGCAGTATGGCCATTTCACGGTAATGATTCTTCCTATCCATGAGCATGGTATGTTCTTCCAGTTGTTTGTGTCCTCTTTTATTTCACTGAGCAGTGGTTTGTAGTTCTCCTTGAAGAGGTCCTTCACATCCTTGTAAGTTGGATTCTAGTATTTATTCTCTTTGAAGCAATTGTGAATGGAAGTTCATTCCTTGATTTGGCTCTCTGTTTGTCTGTTATGGTTTATAAGAATGCTATTGATTTTTGCATTAATTTTGTATCCTGAGACTTTGCTGAAGTTGCTTATCAGCTTAGAGACTTGGGCTGAGACAATGGGGTTTTCTAAATACACAATCATGTCATCTGCAAAGAGGGACAATTTGACTTCTTCTTTTCCTAACTGAATACACTTTATTTCTTTCTCTTGCCTGATTGCCTTAGCCAGAACTTCCAACACTATGTTGAATAGAATTAGTGAGAGAGGCATCCTGTCTTGTGCCAGTTTTCAAGGAATTTTTCCAGTTTTTGCCCATTCAGTATGATATTGGCTGTGGGTTTGTCATAAATAGCTCTTATTATTTTGAGTCGTTACATCAATACGAGATTTATTGAGCGTTTTAGCATGAAGGGCTGTTGAATTTTGTCAAAAGCCTTTTCTGCATCTATTGAGATAATCATGTGATTTTTGTCTTTGGTTCTGTTTATATGCTGGATTATGTTTATTGATTTGCGAATGTTGAACCAGCCTTGCATCCCAGGAATGAAGCCCACTTGATCATGGTGGATAAGCTTTTGATGTGCTGTTGAATCCGGTTTGCCAGTATTTTATTGAGGATTTTGCATCGATGTTCATCAGGAATATTGGTCTAAAATTCTCTTTTTTTTGTTGTGTCTGCCAGGCTTTGGTATCAGGATGATGCTGGCCTCATAAAATGAGTTAGGGAGGGTTCCCTCTTTTTCTATTGATTGGAATAGTTTCAGAGGAATGGTACCAGCTCCTCCTTGTACCTCTGGTAGAATTCAGCTGTGAATCCATCTGGTCCTGGACTTTTTTTGGTTGGTAGGCTATTAATTATTCCCTCAATTTCAGAGCCTGCTATTGGTCTATTCAGGGATTCAACTTCTTCCTGGTTTAGTCTTGGGAAGAGTGTAAGTGTCCGGAAATTATCCATTTCTTCTAGATTTTCCAGTTTATTTGCATAGAGGTGTTTATAGTATTCTCTGATGGTAGTTTGTATTTCTGTGGGGTCAGTGGTGATATCCCTTTATCATTTTTATTGCGTCTCTTTGATTCTTCTCTCTCTCTTCTTTATTAGTCTTGCTAGCAGTCTGCTCAATTTTGTTGATCTTTTCAAAAAACCAACTCCTGGATTCATTGATTTTTGGAGGGTTTTTGTGTCTCTATCTCCTTCAGTTCTGCTCTGATCTTAGTTAATTCTTGCCTTCTGCTAGCTTTTGAATGTGTTTGCTCTTGCTTCTCTAGTTCTTTTAATTGTGATGTTAGAGTGTCAATTTTAGATCTTTTCCTGCTTTCTCTTGTGGGCATTTAGTGCTCTAGAATTTCACTACACACTGCTTTAAATGTGTCAAGAGATTTTGTATGTTGTATCTTTGTTCTCGTTGGTTTCAAAGAACATCTTTATTTCTGCCTTCATTTCGTTATGTACCCAGTAGTCATTCAGGGGCAGGTTGTTCAGTTTCCATGTAGTTGAGTGGTTTTGATTGAGTCCTGAGTTCTAGTTTGATTGCACTGTGGTCTGAGAGACAGTTTGTTATAATTTCTGTTCTTGTACATTTTAGAGAGTGCTTTACTTCCAATTATGTGGTCAATTTTAGATAAGTGCGATGTGGTGCTGAGAAGAATGTATATTCTGTTGATTCGAATTGGAGAGTTCTGTAGATGTCTATTAGATCTTTGCTTGCTGCAGAGATGGGTTCAATTCCTGGATATCCTTGTGCTTTCTGTCTTGTTCATCTGTCTAATGTTGACAGTGGAGTGTTGAAGTCTCCCATTATTATTGTATGGGTGTCTAAGTCTCTTTGTAAGTCTCTAAGGACTTGCTTTATGTATCTGGGTGCTCCGTCGGGTGCATATATATATTTAGGATAGTTAGCTCTTCCTGTTGAATTGATCCTTTTACCATTGTGTAATGGCCTTCTTTGTCTCTTTTGATCTTTGATGGTTTAAACTCTGTTTTGTCAGAGACTAGTATTGCAACCCCTGCTTTTTTTTTGCTCTCCATTTGCTTTATTTCTCCATTTGCTTCCTCCATCCCTTTATTTTGAGCCTATGAATGTCTCTGCGTGTGAGATGGGTCTCCTGAATACATGAACTGATGGAGTCTTGACCCTTTATCCAGTTTGCTAGTCTGTGTCTTTTAATTGGAGCATTTGGTCATTTACATTTTTAAGGTTAATATTGTTCTGTGAACTTGATCCTGCTATTATGATATTAACTGGTTATTTTGCTCGTTAGTTGATGCAGTTTCTTCCTAGCGTCGATGGTCTTTACATTTTGGCATGTTTTTGCAATGGCTGGTACAGTTGTTCCTTTCCATGTTTAGTGCTTCCTTCAGGGTCTCTTAAAAGGCAGGCCTGGTGGTGACAAAATCTCTAAGCATTTGCTTATCTGTAAAGGATTTTATTTCTCCTTCACTTATGAAACTTAGTTTGGCTGGATATGAAATTCTGGGTTTAAAATTCTTTTCTTTAAGAATGTTGAATATTGGCCCCCACTCTCTTCTGGCTTGTAGAGTTTCTGCCGAGAGGTCTGCTGTTAGTCTGATGGGCTTCCCTTTGTGGGTAACCTGACCTTTCTCTCTGGCTGCCCTTAAGATTTTTTTCCTTCATTTCAACTTTGGTGAATCTGCAATTATGTGTCTTGGAGTTGCTCTTCTCGAGGAGTATCATTGTGGTGTTCTCTGTATTTCCTGGATTTGAATGTTGGCCTGCCCTACTAGGTTGGGGAAGTTCTCCTGGATGGTATCCTGAAGAGTGTTTTCCAACTTGGTTCCATTTCCCCCTCACTTTCAGGCACCCCAATCAGGCGTAGATTTGGTCTTTTTACATAATCCCATACTTCTTGCAGGCTTTGTTCATTTCTTTTCTTCTTTTTTCTTTTGGTTTCTCTTCTCGCTTCATTTCGTTCATTTGATCCTCAATCGCTGATACTCTTTCTTCCAGTTGATCGAGTTGGTTACTGAAGCTTGTGCATTTGTCACGTATTTCTCATGTCATGGTTTTCGTCTCTTTCATTTCGTTTATGACCTTCTCTGCATTAATTACTCTGTATCAATTCTTCACTTTTTTCAAGATTTTAGTATCTTTGCGCTGAGTCTGTAATTCCTCCTTTAGCTCTGAGAAGTTACAGTGGACTGAAGCCTTCTTCTCTCATCTGCGTCAAAGTCATTCTCCGTCCAGCTTTGATCCGTTGCTGGCGATGAGCTGCGCTCCTTTGCCGGAGGAGATGCACTCTTATTTTTTAATTTCCAGCTTTTCTGCCCTGCTTTTTCCCCATCTTTGTGGTTTTATCTGCCTCTGGTCTTTGATGATTATAGTAGCGTACTGATGGGGTTTTGGTGTGAAACGCATCCTTCCTGTTTGATAGTTTTCCTTCTAATAGTCAGGACCCTCAGCTGTGGAGTCTGTTGGGAGGTGGCAGGGTCCTCCAGACCCTGTTTGCCTGGGTGTCAGCAGCAGAGGCTGCAGAAGATAGAATATTGCTGAACAGCCAGTGTACCTGTCTGATTCCTGCTTTGGAGGCTTCCTCTCAGGGATGTACTCCACCCTGTGAGTTGTGGGGTGTCAGACTGCCCCTAGTGGGGATGTCTCCCAGTTAGGCTACTCAGGGGTCAGGGACCCACTTGAGCGGGCAGTCTGTCCCTTCTCAGATCTCAACCTCCGTGTTGGGAGATCCACTTCTCTCTTCAAAGCTGTCAGACAGAGTCATTTGCGTCTGCAGAGGTTTCTGCTGCTTTGGTTGTTGTTAGTTGTGCCCTGCCGGAGGTGGAGTCTACAGAGACAGGCAGGGTTTCCTTGAGCTGCTGTGAGCTCCACCCAGTTCGAGGCTTCAGTGGCTTTGTTTACACCCTGTAAGCCTCAGCATTGGTGACGCCCCTCCCCAGGCTCGCTGCTGCCTTGCCCTTAGATTGCAGACTGCTGTGCTAGCAATGAGGGAGGCTCCGTGGGCATGGGACCCTCCCGGCCAGGTGGCAGGATATGATCTCCTGGTGTGCCTGTTTGCTTAAAAGTGCAGTATTGGGGTGGAGTTACCCGTTTCCAGGTGTTGTGTCTCAGATTTCCTGGCTAGGAAAGGGATTCCCTTTCCCCTTGCACTTCCCAGGTGAGGCAATGCCTGTGCCTGCTTCAGCTCTCGCTGGTCGGGCTGCAACAGCTGACCAGCACCGATTGTCTGGCACTCCCTAGTGAGATGAACCCAGTACCTCAGTTGAAAATGCAGAAATCATCGGTCTTCTGTGTCGCTCACGCTGTGTCACTCACGCTGTGTCGCTAGCTGTTCCTATTCGGCCATCTTGCTCCGCCCCTCGATTTACAACACATGTCTCATTCTGTGTTTGTTCTTTCATTTCTTAAATGTATCCTTTGATACAAAAGGCTTGCATCTTGTGAATTATCTATTTTTCCTTTCTGTTTCTCATGCATTTTGGGTCTTACCAGAGAATCCGTGGCACATTTTAGAGTCATTAAGTTTTACCCCTATGTCTTTTTCTAAGATGTTTTTATGGTTATGGATCTTATAATTAGCTCAAAGATCCATTTTTAGTTAATTGTTTGATACGATTGGAAGTTTAGTTGTCTAAGTTTATTGTTTTGCATGTAGTTGTTATCTAGTTGTTTCTGCACCATTATTTAAACAGGATGATTGTTCCTCCATTAATTATCTTGACACCCTTATGCAGAAGCAATGAACTATAATGAGTGATTTATTTCTAGACTCTCAATTCTATTCCTTTGGTTCCTAGTTGTATTCTTATTCCAGAAGCTTCTGTTTTTAATAGTTGTAATGTCTTGTGAGTTTTTCAAGTAAGAAAAGTTCAAGTTCTGCAATTTTTTGGCAAAATTGTTTTGGCTCTTTTCAAGGGTACTTTTTTGAAAGCAAGAGTGTACAATGTTTTGCCATTGGAAAGCTTTTTCTGTCATATTTTGGAGGGGAATTTTGCAGTCTAGGGATCTTTTCAGGAACTTTATCACAAGTAGGTAAATTTTCACCACTTCCTTTGCTGAGGAGTACTCTGTTCCGATGTGTGTTGCCTCTCGCTGAAGAGGTGAGAGAGCCTGGAAGCATTTGTCCATGTGGTGAGGGACAGTGAGCTCCTTATTAGAGGCCACAGAGACATTGCTTGCTTTAAGTTTAATGTTGTCAGAGGCAACTGTGTGCATCTCTGCTTCTTTATTTTTGTACAAGGTTGCATCTCTGCTGGACACACTGAATATTGAAATCTTTGCTCATTCTCTTGGTTCTGGGTTGGCTGACATGTCAGCTGGAGCTGGAGAACATGCCTGGCAGAAGTGTGACCCCCATGGGAAACAGCAGGACTCAGCAGAGTGAAAGCAGCTGGGACCCAGAGAAGCCAAGGAGGTCTCACTCTTAGAAGCCAAAGACCAACAGGTGGGTGTCCTCAGGGGCAAATGGACTACACTGGTACCCATTACAGTGGACTGGAAAAATTAAAGGCTTTGGATATTCCATTTTTCTCTCTCTCAGCTCTTCAGCAGGAGATTTGGGCCCTGGGCTGGTACTGTCCTGCATCACGGTCAGGGTAGACAGGAATGGCTGCATATCAGGCCTAAGTCCATGTCATCCTCTCAGGCATTGCCACTGAAGATGGAGAATTTTGTTGAGAGAGTCCAGCCTTGGCCATGGGAGGAACCACCTTATTAAAATTAATTTAAGAAAACAGTATGCATGCTTTATTCTTCTAGAATAATTATTATTGTCACGTTTTACAATGTATCTCTTAAAGGAATGGTGAGAATCATCTACATAATGTATGTTAGGTTGTCTTTCTATAATTGCAGCTTTCACATGTTCTGATAGAATCCATTTCCTTTGGGAACACACAGGCAGTATCTCTGTATTTGATTTCTACTGGGAAATCTTTATGCAGGGTGGAGAAGAGTCACATTTCCAGCCAGAGATGGAAAGCATCTGACTACCGGATAAAGTGTCCAAATGCTGCTAGTAATGATCATGGTGTTGCAGGTAGAGTCAGTTAAGGAGGTGTCAAGGAAAAGTAATTTCAAAAGTCTTTTTTTTCTTCTTCTTTTTTTTTAACAAAATCAATGGAAGAAGCCACCAGCTGGACCCACTACCTGTTGGAAAGGATGAGGGACAGAAATGGAGCTCAGTAAATTGGTGAAATTCAGGAGTGGGGGAAGAGGTTTGAGAGGTCGCCGGGTGTGAGAGGTGAATGGGTGAATGGTGAGAATGTTCAAAACACCTCCTTTCTCCATAAAAAGGAGGATTTAAGTCCCTAAGCCAGACAGTGTCCAGGCCAGGGAGAACAGGATGTTATCAGCTTTCCTGGCCAAAAGTGAGACTCCAGAGTGTCTAATTACTTGGTCCAGTTTGGGATTGATTCCTATTTTAAAAATGATCCAACAGTATACAATTTGGAAAATTTACGGAAATCCCTATGCTACCATTCTTAGATAGCCAAGATGGCCCTAAGATGGTGAGAGAATCAGAATGGGGTTTGGGTTTATGTTGTGTATTTTTTCCTCCCAATATCTACAGAAATCCCTACATCCCAGTTTTCAATATAACCCAGTGGGTGTCATTCCCTTGTGTAGTTCCAGACCTTTCTGATTCACGGTTACAGACCCTTGGAAAACCCATACCCTTTCTGCTGTGAGGTACAGGCAGCCATGTGGCATCACCTCTAAACATGCCTTCTGGGACATCAAATTGCTGAATAAGTAAAAGTCATTTCAGTAGATATTGAAGACCTCCATTTTACCCCTCTCACACTTGTAATTCTTCTACCAAGAGGTGATGGATTTTAGTGGTGATTTGCTTTTATAGATTAGTGTAGATTAACGCTTCTGCCAGGAGCAATTTTTCATTGGGAAAAGCATTTGGCAAAGTCTGGAGACATTGCTGGTTGACAGAGCTGGGGTAGGTCTGCTGGCCTTGAATGGGTAGAGTCCCAGAGAGTGCTGAACATTCTAGAGCTCACAGAGCCCCACCAGCACGACCACTACAGAGTTCAATGCTGAGGAGGAGTGGAGAGCCCTGATGTGCCTCCTACTTCCTGGAGTGGGCTTTTTACCTTCTCCTTCCATCAGTCTCTACCACTTTCTCACCTCAGTTTGCTGTTTGAACTTTAATGCCCTCCACTTAAAACTTGCCCTTAGTTTAAGACCTGCTGTAATCTCTGGACTTCCTTGGCCCCTTTCTGATCCTTGGGTGTCTCTGAGGACCCCCTCACCTTTCCTGGAGGTTTCCCAGAATTCAATTCCCCTGCTCTGTGTGGGCACCAAGGAGTATGGCGGTGTACTTGTGTCCCTAAAGGTGCTGTCGTTCAGGACCTTTGTGTAGGGAGCAACTGTGGTGATACTACCCTCCTACTTTTCTTGGAACATAAAAATTTGTGGAAACCTTGGCAGAGTAAAATTTCTTAACGCTTGTCAAAATTTAAAAATATATATTTTGCCTCTCAAACTAATACTGGGAAAAATTTATCACGAAAGTCCCAGTCATAAAAAATGACACTAATCTGGGTTATTCACTGTATTATTTGTTTAACAGCAAAATATTGGGAACAACCTAGACTTTCACCAGCACAATGCTAATTCAACAGATTACCTTATATCTACACAATAGAATATGATGCAGCTGCATAAAAGTAAGACTCTTTTTCAGCTATTCCAGTAGAAACAGCTCCATGTTCTGTTTTAATTATAGCATGTAAACATCACAGAATAAGATGCAGTTTTTGTACTAGGTCTGACCTTACAACACTATTTTTAATGTGTGTGTGTGAGTTTGTTTTTTTTAATTTAAAGAGAGAGGGTCTCACTCTCATAGGCAGGCTGAAGTGCAGTGGCAAGATCATAATTGACTGCAGCCTCAAACTTCTGAGCTCAAAAGATCCTCCTGTCTCAGCCTCCTGATTAACTGGAATCACAGGCACGTGCCACCATGCCTAGCTAATTTTTTGTAGTTGTTGCTGTAGAGATGGGGTTTCACCCAGGCTCCTGAAACCCCAGGCTGATCTCAAACTTCTGGGCTCAAGTTATCAGCCCACCTTCACTCCCAAAATGTTGGAATTACAAGTGTCACCACACCTCCACACCTGATTCTGCCTTTTTTTTTTTTTTTTTTTTTGAGGTGGACTGCAGTCTACTCACTCATCTCTTTCCCCATCGGGTGATTTCCCATTTTCTCTGTTCTCTACCATATGTCCATGCCAAAGCTAGATGTATTTGCTTTTGTTTAAATTAGATTTTTTTTTAAGAGAAACACTTAGGAATGGTCTCATAGCTGATTTTCAGGATTCTAATCTTCACTGTCTAAGCCATAGGTTTTCAACTCCGGATACTGATTAGAGTCACTTGTAGGTCATTTAAAGCCTACCAATGCCTGTATTATCCCTCAAGCATATCTGATTTGTCTGATGTGTGGTGTAGCCCAGGGATTGGTTGCTTAAAAATGCTTTGAAGGAAAAGGTCATTTGCAGTGGAGAACTTTAACCCAGTGATCAAGTTAACATCCCAGTAATAAGAATACTTGACACGCAGGCATTCTAATATAATTGATGGAGAAAGGTGCAGAATTATCCCTGTAGTATTCTTGTACAAGTGTATAACCTGAGTTTAATCATGAGAAAATATTAGAAAAGTCCAAACTGAGGGTCATGCTACAAAATAATTAGCAATACGCTTCAAAAATGTGAAGCTCTTAAGGTAAATCTGCTTTCCCAGATTAAAGGAGACTGAGAAAGAACAGTACAATGAAAGAGCAATATGTGATACTAGATTGGATCTGGTCAGAAAAAGGACACGTCGTCCAGAAGATAGAGGATTTGGATAAAAGGTCACAGGCATTCATTTAGTGTTAATAAACATTTATTGATTTTGATTGGTGCATATCTACAATGTTAATATTTAGGGAAGTTGAATGAAAAGCATGTGAGGACTTTGCCTATCTTTGGAACATTTTAGAAAGTCTGAAATCATTTCAAAATTAAACATGAGAAGAAAAGAAAAGAAATATAGATATTTTAGATATTTTGATTAAGTTGCCAAAGTTGAAGATCATTTCCCAACTTATCTTGCCTAATACTGGTCAGAGTAATCTTCCTGGAAATGCTGCTTTGTCACATTTTGTGACCTTCTCAAAGCTTTCCAGTGACTTCTCTTATCTGTAGGATGAAGTTCCCATTATGTAGGCTGCCATGCAGTGTCCTCGCAACATGGCCCCAATCTCCCTTTTTCTGTTGTTTGTGTTGAAAGACCTGTTGTATTTCACTCTTATAGTAAACTTGTTCTAGTTCTTTTTCTTGCTTGTATAATGCCCTTCCCTGTCTTCTCAACTTCAGCAGGACTTCAGTGGCTGGTAGAAATATTTTTAGAAGAAAAATTGTAAAGATAGTTATAGGAAATGATGCAAACCTTCTTGGAAGTCTGGGGAGTTTGCATAGCTTCAGTAAAGGTTTGGCTGAAGGTAACTGAATTATGGCAAAAGCTTAGGGCTTGGTACATAGGAATGTAGGAATTTATCTAAAATAGTTTGTTTACTCGAGCAGTCCTAAAACCAACATTTAATCTTAGGCTGGGGAACTACTCTCGGGGAGAATTCGGCAGTGTCAATTACCTTGTAGTGAGTGTTTACTTAGTCTTGCTCCATTTAATCTGTACTAAATAAATGTGCACTTCCCTGGCTGATCAGAGCCAGGCTGTTAACTCTTTATCAGACCCCTCTTGGTATTGAGTGAGTGACTTAGCCACCTAGCCTGCTCTTTCACTGGATATTTGTGTCTGAGTGTATTTGTTCATCCATTGCTGGAGTCAGGAGTCTGCGGTTGGACCCAGACAGTTGTGAATGCCAGTGTGAGACCTTGCATGTGGGTTCCCAGGTCTGAAAATTATAGCGCAAATAATTGCAACAGAACCTGAAAATGAAGGTGAAGACTGTGTGCGGTTGGTAAGCCAAGACTGTGTGGGAGCAGACAAAAGCAGCACAGACAAAAAGTGGGCGCCTATGCAAGCACAGTGCGACCACTGCCCAGGACCTGCTTCACTGCCCTCCAGCTCCATGGGTGGCCCACGGTAAAATTACATGTGTTCCTTGTATATAAGGAACATCTCAAATTATAATTCTCTGATAAAATTTAAGCTAAATTTAAATTATAATTACGGCCACTGCTTTTCCTCTG